ACGCCTTTATTTATCTCTCTCTTTATATCTGTCTTGTAAGGGCAATTACTTAACCGAAAGAAAAGTTGACCATCAAAAAAATTATGATTAAGGCAACGTATGAACGACTGCCCAATCAACACCCCTCTCTTCCTATCTCTCTTAGTAGAGATATCAACTTCCTTCATTGGAACGATACTCTTGCAGCAGCTCACGAATAGAAACCTGTTGCAACACTTTGCGACAATACTCCTCAAAAGTTTCGAATCGAGTCTGTCTTTGCCGATTGTAATCGAGATGAATGGCAGCATCCACACATCTCCAAGTGTTCGTGTTCGTATTCAAATGCGTTGCTGCTTCCACAATATCTTCCACCCTGCGAGAACTGTCAAGATAGGACAAGTGTGCAAGTGTCTTTTTGGGACCAATACATTCAAGAGAGTCATAGATCGCAATGTTAAAATTAGAAGAACTTGGTTGTTCCAAGGGTCTTGTATAGATATGGAGATGGTCTCTCGACGGCGTGGGAGCGGGCACAATACAACCGACAGAAAACAGAGTAGCCGTAGCGGCAAACGAAGCAGAAACAACAACAGAAGTAGTGACAATCGGCGATGACATAGTGGATGGGGGAACATAATCCGGAAGACGTTGAAAAGTTGGAGGAGATGCTGCTGGAAGGGGGAGTCTACGGACCGGAGCGGAAAGAGGAGCGGAAGAAGGAACCATCGGAGGAATCCTTTTTAAAAGGCGTTGTATCCGTGCATATCTGAAAAAAGGTTGGGGAATAGGCCCTTCTGTCAGACAATATGGCAAATCAAACGTCATCCTAGCGATCTCCTCATTAGAGAGAGCAATGAAATCGTCCTGCAAAAGGGATTGTAACATCCAAGAAGCTTCCAAATCTGAAACATTCCATGGGTTTGAAGAAAGAGTCTCAGGGGATTTTCTTTCCAAACGCATATCTGTGAGTTTGTTTTTTTCCCAGTCCAAAAACTTTTCCCATGTATTTTCATCCTTTGCAACGCTCGCAGTTTGGACAAACATTTCAAAAAGCACCTCAGTCAAGACTTTTTGCAGGCCAACCTTCTTCGCATCGTCGAACCATTTGCCAAGGCAAGCACGCGGATTCGCAGTGTCGATTGTGGGTGCACCCTTATCATGAGGCACCACAATAACAGTTGAAGGATTTTGTGGTTGTGATGTGGTGCAAATATCTCTTTCGCGTTGACTGTGTTGAGATTGCGAACACGAATCGTGAACACGTGCACGTCCAGGGAGTCGTCCACGAAACAGAAGAGGTGCAAGTTCATCGGTACAGATGTCATCCAGCGCTCTCAAAACCTGATTTGCCGTTTCACTAACAACCGGTTGTCGTTCCTCCCTATTCGTAGCGAACGCACACTCGAGCATTCCAGTCGAACACACATTATCAGTTGTATTAATTGTAGTTGCCGCAACAGTGGATGATTTCTTTCTTTGTGCAGAGCGTTGGGATTGCGAACATGAATCACGAGCACGCACATCTCCAACAACTCCATGAGTGACAAATTCATCTTCATGATTGTAATGATTTCAGAGGGTCAGCTCACCAATTGGAGTTGAACCCACGAGATTCTTTTCCTGAGGAACACGATTACGCTTGGCTGTAGAATCAATCGCTTGAGAATCACTCGTATCGCTATCATCTTCGTCATCATCGAGCAGAGACTTACCGGTCAAACCCAATGAAAAATTAGGCACAAATTTGTCATGCCGATCATAATCATCGTCATAACAGTCAACACGCATTTTTTCAGCATCCTCAAGGGTGCTCGCTTGTTGATGGACACCTTCAACTTCATCGCGCACAATATCATGGTCACCAGTATGTTCATTTTCATTATCCGATGTATCTTGTTTTTTGCTCTTCCTTGATCGCCTTGACTGGGCCCCTTGTTGTCTAGGTGTAACATTCAGAGCACCATCAGTTGTATTGCTATTGACGGTTTGTTTCCTCTTTTTCGTTTGAGCGCGTGTCCCATAGGTATGGTGCAGTTCAGATTCGCCTGCGGGGAAAAAAAGAAAATAAGTTTACCAAAATTCAACACCGATCAGCCGGAAGAGATATATACGACAAAAGAGAAGAACTCATTCAAAAAGTGACGCGCATGTCCTGGCAACTCGTCCGAAAGAGATATATACGACCAAGGAGAAAAAATCATTGCAAAAGTTCATGGTAAACAATATTCTTTGTGATGAATTTTTTGTCAGGCAACGCAACACGAATGTTGTTGGGATGACCAACGCGCGACAAAGCAACATACAACTTTCCATGCGCAAAAACAGGTTTGCGCAACCAAACCCCGACACGAGAGACAGTTTGTCCTTGCGACTTGTTAATGGTCGCAGCAAACGCAAGACGGATGGGGAACTGCCTCCTATTCCATTTAAACTCGGTGGTTTCACCATTACTTGTTAAATCGATTTTGGGGATCAGTGTCGTTTCACCGGTACGCATTATGGTCACTTCCAACAAATCATCATCAACAATCTTTTTAAGAATTAACCTTGTGCCATTACAAAGTCCTTGTTTGGGCAACAAATTGCGCAACAACATCACAGGCGCACCAATTTTCAAGCGCAGTTTGTGAGGCGGAAGACCAGACTCATTGAGAGAATTTAATAACTCCTGTTGGATAGCAAGTTCGTGATCATCAGAAGCAAGGTAATCAACACTATAACTTTCACGCACCTCGCCAGGAAAATCGTTGAGAACCATATCGTTAACACACCCCGCATCATCATTGGTGGCGCAGAGAATCAATCGAGCGTAAAAATAGTCAGCATCCCCAACGTGTTCACACACATCCTCAAACGTCCGGGAAATCAAATCACGAATAGGTTTATCAGTGCAAATCTCATGCGGCAGTTTAACCGCGGCAGGTTCGTTAGGAACAACACGAATATGATCCCCATTCCCAATACGCATCAAAAACACGTCATACATTCGCGCCATTGGATCATCCCCTAAGCTTAAGATCCGCATATTCTTAGTCAGGTAATGAACCTCAAAGAGTTTCCACAAAGGAGACATTTTGATAGAGGCATCAATTTGTTGCACTCGAGACTCATGCTTCACAACGGGTAAAACCTGCCGAAAGTCCCCAGAAAGAAGCAAAACCTTTCCTCCAAACGGGAGGTTACTGTTACAGAGATCTCGAAGCGTAATATCAAGAGCTTCCAAGTGGAACTTGTTACTCATCGGAGCCTCATCCCAAACGATTAAGTCCGCATGCCGGATAAGTTCGGCAAGATCACCCTGTTTCAGAATATTGAAGGAACGCGTGTTATCAGGTTTCAAAGGTGCTCGAAATCGCGAGTGAAATGTTCGACCACCGGTCAAAAGAGTCGCGGCTATCCCACTGGACGCCACAGCGAGTCCAATACCATTACGCGACCTGATCCCCGCCAAAATCGTTTCTATGCAAAAAGTCTTTCCTGTTCCCGCCGGCACATCTACAAAAGCATAAAGCGGTTGTTTCTCTTCCACGGCCCGAACAACTCTTTGCACGAGTGCTCGTTGGCGTGGCCGAAGATGGTGAAAATTAGACTCGAATCTAGTTCGCATTTCAATCGGATCATACGACAACTCGTCATTTATAATCGACGACACAGTCCTGTTCTCGTAATGCCTGTTTATGTCGTCGGCAACCGTTTCTCCATCAGGGGTCGGATAATAAAGACCGAACAGGCGAATGTTTTTGCCAGACTCGTGCAAGATACGGTCAAGATCAAAGAGCACCAAACATTGCAAAACGATCGGAGGAAGAATTAGAGAGCCCAAACGATACTGAAAATGATCACACATTTTGTCTCAGTGTCGTTGAAAGAATTGAACAGGATCATTGACCAGACCAAACAGCAGAAGCATAGAGAACACTTTACGAACCTCTGCAGGCATATAATGGAGTGCGGCCGTATCTATACATTGATTATATGCATCATCGGTTTGCAAAAGTCCTAATCGAAGACACACCGATCGGAACTAATCGTATTCGACTTCATCGACGGTACGACTTTCTGCAAAAGAGCGTGCTTCACGAGAGTGCTCATGGTGTAGCAACACACGGAGATAGAAGCGTTCGCCTTCCGTGACCCTGGCATGATGCAATCGAGATATCTTTTCGAAAGGAGCACCATGAAGAGCACGCATTCTTCTATTCCACCCCTTATGTTGATTATCCCACACATGAGTTTTAATAATGTAAGGATACAAAGGGAGTTCGTGTTTAGGAACATATGCATTCAAAGAGTTTTGATTCATCCATGCCGCCAATTTTGTGTTTGGCGGTCCACGCGAAAGAACATGATCTTTCGTTCCCGGTTCGAACACCACTTTTTGCATGTTCTCGATATGCACAGGCAATCTTTTGACTGCGGGCCACTGTTCCGCAAGGTCGAATTCAAACAGATGCCAGCATGCCTCGCACGCACCAACAACACGCATATCTTGATAGGATTTGACTTCAATGATAGGTGCATTGTTATCTTGTTCGCAAACCATGGGACGATCACACCCTTTATACACGTACTTATACACATATTTGCACACCTTGATGTTGGCACAACATTCGACATTGATGTGGCAGTTAAACCTCATCAGCAAGTATGGGTTATACGGGACCACTCGACGATTATCATAAACAACGCGATTTTGAACGACCGTAAAGCCACCGTCACTTGGTTTTCTTCTCCTGTAAGAAGGGTAAGTTTGTTCATCTTGGAAGGTTGTAGTGGAAATAAATTCTTTTGAAAATTCTTTGGTGCACTTCCCGTTCTCCGTACACGAAGCATCCTGCTTGTCCTCACCACAAATGTCGTGCAACATGAATTTGACAACCCTTTCTCTCAATTCCCCTTCAGGCGGAATCTCCGCACACACTACATTGTCAACAGCATCTAGATCGCGGATTTTATCATCCGGATGCAAGATGACAAATATGTGTGCTTGCGGCAGACCCCTTTTTTGGAACTCCACCACATACAACATTCCATCGACTCTCCCAAAGATCTGTTTTTTCTTAATCTCATCAATGAGTTGTGTGAGATAACCATTGAACACTCGGGCAAGAAGATCAGGTCTGTCGGTTGCACACTGATCCGGCAAGAGGGCTTGTTGGATCTCCGGTCAGTTTGTGTTACACGTCATAATAATAAAAAGATCGGGTTTTCTAAACCGCCTCACAATTACCATGCTGTCATGATATTTTTTGGTCATATACCGCGGTCCCCCAGTGAAGGTGGAGGGCAGAAGTATTTTTGTCCCAACACCATCACTGTGCTCATTTTGTTGCACAGCGTCTCGCAGGTCCTGATAATATTCCGACCGCAAGTCTTTCTGATAAAATCTTACCCATTTTAAGCAAAGGGATTCAACCTTAGCATAAGCCATGCAACAAAACTCGTGGAAAAGACGTGCCGCATAAAGGAGGCAAGGCCTTTCACCATCACGTTCGTGCAGGTGAAACGCATAGTACTCCTTGGCACTGAGTCCTGGCGGCCATCCAGCTTCCGAAGCACGGCGGACAGACCAACTATCAATTCCGTCCGGGAAAAGCAAAACAAACATCAAACAGTCGTTCACTCGGAAACACTCCGGAACGACAACTGTTGCCTGGTCACCCGGAAGAGGAGCACGCAAACGAATCTCAAGCTCACGAGGAAGAAGGTCATCCGCCATGAGAACGCAGACCTCCTGTAGCCCCGTCGGACGGTTGTAACGCCTCGCATGTTCCTCCGTGGGCATGGCATCCGGATTTATGACAAACTTCCTTCCATTCAACGCTCCCTGCGGAAGGTCGGCGATGGTCATGAAGTCCTTCACGTAGTTGTTACACTGTTGTAGCAACTCGTGAAACTTTTTTAACAGTCATCTCATTCGGTGAAGTTCGGCATCAGACGTGTGTGCAGGCAAATTAAGGAAATCCACTCTTTGATCAATCGCATCATCCAAACGGTGAGGATCGTGCAAGTAAAGTTGTGCAAACTGAGGACGTTCCCCTTCCCCCACAGCCAATGCACCGACACGATGATAGATCAGACCCTGAGCCCGAAGTTGGCCCTGGAATCCCTGAACGTCATCGCTCGGTTGCTTCAACCGCGAGGATGCGAGAGATAAACTGTTATTGATTATCCTCGCATTGTTTCGAACGAATCGGCCGTCGGGAGTCTGAGACGTCCAAATAGAAAGAATCTTATGCTCCGGGGACCCTTCTCGAGGCCATTCCCACAGAGGACAACGTCTCGTACCTTTTCTGCAACATATTTTTGTCCAACTTTTTTCATGATTCCACAACTTTGCACCACAATACCTGCACGGTTCTCGACCACCAATGTCGAATGCCCGAATCGTGTTAGCATTCGCAACAATAAACACGGTGTTCTCAACCGCTGCATTCGGTGTTGCCACGGGCACAGACGGGAGTGCATTCATATCAGCAGGTGGATCATCATCCAAATCATTCATTTCCTCATCCCGATTATCTGGCTCACCATGTTCTCGATTGTTCATTGAATTTTCAATCACAACGGACGGATTATGCGACTACTTTGCTCTCCCCGACATACTTCGCCATTGCCTCGGTCGCGAACAATGACAATGCGTTTCCTTCGAAGAAGAAGATGCACCCCGCGACTGCGCAGAGGCGGTTGCTCGAATCTCTCGAAGGATATTAACAGGGGCCAAACTTTGCCTCACACCCCGCAAAAAACGTTTAATAGCATGCATATCGTCGTTCCTCCTGCGATTCTTAATCGCAACTCTCAATGCACGCATACGTTTAACGTGATAATTTGACTGTCTTTGAAGTCTCTTTTTTCGAGTGAAAATTTCATACGATGCAGACCTTGGTTCATCGTCATTCATCGTACGGACTTGTTCAGTTGCACCGCCACCGGCCACTGTACTTTCAACAACTACTGCATGTGCATCAAAGTCGTGGAACACAGGGGGACGTACGGACGACAACGATCCAAGATTCAAACGACGCGCGACTTTACCGGTACGGAGTGCCCGAAGGCACAACATACGATATCGTCTGTTGCGGCTCGAATGAATCGGTTTCAATATTGGCGATCTCCTTCGATGATTATGAAATCCAACCAACCTCCTAACCATTGCGTTCGGGGAATTTGGCAAGTTTCGCGGAGAAGAGCATGTCTGTGCATGAACCGGTGCGATGGAAGCATAAAGATCAGGTTGCACGGATCTTCGCCGCACATCTTCTATAAATGTGGAGGACGAACCGTTTTGCACATGTGGCGAATGAAAGGAAGAATCATGAACTTGTAAGGTTGTTTCGATCATAGGAAGAAAATTTTATCCGGACTGCATCATGCGCGAAATTTTCATCAGGTCGTGCACTTCGCAGGGTGACAGGCAGGTTTCCTTGGCAACGAATCTCACTCGTACCAACATCAACATTTTCTTGACTCCTCTGGAAAAAAAACTGAGGGTTTGCGATACCATCCAATTGTTTGTTGGAAAGATAAAGATTTATCACTACATTGTTCTTCCACAGAACAATCAAGGGCGCGATCAGGAGTTATCATCCGTTGTTTGTCCCTTCCGTCAGTAGTTACATCACCCACACCACCTACCGGTTGCAGTAAAGACCTTCAAGTCCGACGACTTTGAGAAGGCGGTCGACCACGTTTGCGGTGTTCATTTTTTGATGAGACCCGTGTTTCAGTAGTAAAGGGACAGCGAGTAATATCAGAACGTACACACAATCCCAACCCATCATTCGACGAAAAAGAAGAATTTGGCACCGAAGGGAAATGAACTTGAGCGGAATCAATAGCAGGAGAGTTATAACAGTTGGGTATCGTTGCAGAAGACAACAAAGGAGCGACAACAGGTCTTTCACAACGGCGAAGGCGTCTTCGACGCTTCCATTGAACGTGCGAGGACTTGTCGGCAGACGAAGCAGAGTTCGGAGCGCAAACAAATTAATGTCACGTGAATCCTTATTTATGCTTTCATCCCCCGCCATCTGAACGGGCCTACATGCGTCTCTTCTTAGGCGGCTACAGCGTAAAATTAGAACGTAAAAATCAAAGGTTATGAGGAATATGGAAGATCTAAAAATCAGCAGGATGACATATATATCCCAGAATGTTCGTAGCCAAATGTAATTATGGTAGTAATATAAAAGATACAGGGTAAAGCATTCAAAAGAAGAAAAAAATATAGTCAAATGATAAACGAAGTTAGCAAAACACAAAACGAAAAACGAACAGAGCAAAACATTGAGTTCACGTTTTTTATTTTTTTTTATTTTTTTTAAAATGTTTATGTCAAGGGAAATGAAGGTTAAGTAACTCATGACGAATTGTATTTTGTCTCTTTTATCCGTGCATTGTATTTATTTATTTTTTTTCGTAAAAAAAACGATAATTTCTTTGTCAGATGTTTTTTTTTTTTTTCCCTATACGCCCCTTAGTCTTTTCAGGGGCCCATGGGATCGAGTCATACGTACCTCATTTATCCGCGTTTACCCTTTGTCATTCCTCAACAAGGCTCACTTTCCTGTTCGTATAAGTTTGTGATCGGGAATGGAGTTTCTTTTGACTTCAATTGCATTCGGTAGAGGCGGCTCCTACTTGCGGCCAGCCTTGGGTATCCTAAGTCAGTCACCGTTCACAAAAAAATCGAAGAAGGGTAAAAGTYTTCCCCAACCTGCCCGAGTCCCAACCGCTAGGATGTAGTCTGTGGCACCCGTCCTCCTCGCCCAGGCACGAGGTTTGGATCTCAGAAGTAGGCGTTGGCTCCACCACAAGAACATTGCACCACCCCCATAAATGAGTCTATCCGGCGTACCGCACCTCTCCCCAGCCAGCCTCGAAGGTCGTGGTTCCAGGAAGAGTCATTCCTAGCGATTGAGGTCAGTCAAACTGTTGATGACCTCACCATTCCTCTCCTCCCTTGTTTAGGTAACTTAGACGAAATAGGAGCAAAGGGGGTAAAAAACATGATTTTTTGGAACAGGCTTACATGAGAGGAGGTCGTTCGGGATAGCACGGGTGTCTTGGGAGAAAGGTTACGTTTATTGTCACTTTCATTATTTATTATCGGACGGATTCCTTCTGCGATATTCCTTACATTACACAGTGCGACCCAACCGTCCCAACACTATTTACTTTCCTTCATGTAAGCACCTTAATGTTTTCAGCGTGGAACGAAATATTATTATACATACCTTGTTTTGGGATAAGTATGCTTTGGTTTCCTTCCACAATATGTAATCGGAGTCGATGAATGTGTGTTGCTATTGTGTTGTTTTGTTATTTTAACTATCGATGGTTTTCATTAACGATTCTCCATTAAATCACATTTCCATAATATGCAATATTCGCATTGCTTTTTTTTTCGAGGGGGGGGGGAGGGGGTGAAAGATATTGTTTTTATACTCGTCTTTTTTTTCACGTACAAATTTCTTAAAGTATACTCACCTGTTTTTTTTTTCCATTTTTTAAGCAATAAGTAGAAGAATAGAAGATCAGATATTGAAAACCATATAAAACGAAGAAACAAAATTTAAAGAAAGTTAGCAAGAAAAGGTAAATTTCGATTTGATAAAAACGACCACACAGAATATGAAACTCCAAAGTGAAAAATGGGCAATAAAACTTATGTTTTAATATACAAATAATAGTTTGTCAAAATTTCAATCCTGTTCAGGAAAGACAATGTCGAACGAAAAAAAAAAAAAAAAAAACTTTCAAATAAAAAAATTAATAAGAAAAGAGAGAGATAGAAAAAAAAAAAAAAAATAGAACAGTATAAGAGCAAACACAGAGAACAGAACAATATTGAAAAAAAAAAAAAATGTAAGTCTCAAAATAGTAACATGATGTTTATAACAATGAACACATTCAAAATGAGATAACATATGAACAAATGAGTAAAGCAACCTTTGTTTTTATCCATCAACAACATTTTCATGCAAATGAAAAAAGTAGTTGTCAAAGAGGGAATGTTAAAAAAAATAGAGGAGAGGGAGAAAAAGAGAGACAGAAGAAAAAAAAAACAGATAGAGAGAGAGAGAGAAAGAGGCAGAGACAGAGAAAGAGAGAGACGGGGAGACAAAGAGACAGAGAGAGAGAAAGAGAGAGACGGGGAGACAAAGAGACAGAGAGAGAGAAAGAGAGAGAGAGGGAGAGAGAGAGACAGAGAGAGAGAAAGAGAGACAAAGAGAGAGAGAGAGAGAGAGAGAGAGAGAGAGAGAGAGAGAGAGAGAGAGAGAAAGACAAACAGAAACAGAGAGCGAGAAAATTTAAATAAAAGTGTCAAAAGATTTAGAATTGAAGCATTTTATCATAAACCCATTAAATTGTCATTATCATTAATGAAATGAACAAATGTGAAAGCACCCATTCCTGCTCGTCATCGCATCCCACTTTCGCGTTCTCCCTCCCACTCTAGCTCCTGCCTCTCCTACTATTCTCACTCGAACAACAGTTAATGCATATGCGACAAAAAAAACAACAACACACTATTCATCTACATCGTCCTCCCCGCGAAGCTGCCTTCTCCTTTCTTCCATTGCGAACTTGTCGTTATCATCAACAACGACATCTCCATAGGGAAAAAGGTTTGTCATGTTGTCACATGTAGGTGTAACAACCGTCAAATCATTTATCTTTCTATAGTCCCCCTGTGTCAAATGACTTAGGCGGTCATACTTCGGACATCGACGCCGCAGAGCTTCAATCAGTGCAAGCACCACCTCATGCAATCTGCTCTCATGTTTTTTATTTATGCTCGCGAGAGCATTCAATTCCTTTTTTACATGGCCCATCTCCTTCATAACCCGCACCGGCGAATGAGCAGCAATGATATTTCCTAACAAAATTCTGAGGCTATACAACTGTTCCTTGTACCTTGCCATCATGCTATCCGTCAGTCCCTCACCGCACTGATCCGAGAAACTATGTTGATACACAGTGTCCATTAACTCTTCTCGTGCATCTTTGTACAATTGTCCCAGAGTAACAACTGTCGCTCTCAACTGGCTATCGCTGACCGGAAAACTCATTGCATTTTGCACCTCCAAAAACGCATTTCTATGTGCAAGCTTCACACCAACTGTTCGCAATGATTGCAACATACCAATCAAACAACTTTTCGGAAGCTCTTCTAAAGTTCGAGCTACTGGGAGCTCAAACACCTCCGATGCAAAAGAAGGATCAATCGATGGCAAGGCACCTGCCGAYAACAATTTTCTCAATGCACACTCGACTGATTCACAACGTAGACGCAAATACTCATACTCTTGGGACAGATGTGGATCAACTTTAGTACTAAGTTCAGCAACTTGGTCAAGCAAGTCATTTATAATCGAGGATTGGATCGAAGACGTAAGTTGGCTCGCAATGTCCTCGTCAACATTCTCCTCCTTCTTCCCATCCACACTACCAGACAAAGACAAATCTCTCACCTCTTCACTTCGTTTCCTTTCCAGGAAACTTTCGAGCACTGATTGTGCATTCACCTCAATTTTTGTGAATGTACGTCTCAGCGCAGTCACTTCCTCCTCCTTCTTCAACATCCCAAGCAACTCAGCCTGAGTCCACCGAAGGCCTTCATTGTCAGTCAAATAGCGACCGCATTCTCCTTTCAATGCGGAATCGTTCGAAACCTTACCTACAATACCATAAGGCACTTGAGACTTACGTGGAAGTAGACGCTGCTCCATGTCATGAATTTGCGAAGCCATGCCATACTCATATCGTTCACTACATTCTTTAAGATATTTGCTCTGCGTGCGAGCATCGGCGAGCCATTTTCCAAATAAACCATCCCCATCATTACGCGCCCGAATTTGCGTCAGCACATCGGACCATGATATTCCTTCCACCGGCATATCTATCTGGCTGTCGACCGCCATATTCATTTGAGTAGATGCTTGCCCATCTGTGGAGACCACCATGAAAAAAGAATCAACCAATTAATCGATCAAATTCATTGATTGATCGAAAACAGAGAGAGAGAGAGAGAGAGAGAGAGAGAGAGAGAGAACTTAGTCAAGCTTAAACAGCATTAAGACAACGATGTGAGTTGCAACCTGGCTCCAACATGGACGACGGACCTGCACAGCGGGCGTGCACCTATACATGCGGCTGCATCTGTACATGGGCCAGGGCTTGCACCTAGGCCGGGACTTGCAGGGGAGCCTACACACGGGCGTCCATCTGCACCTGCACATGGGCCTGGGCGTGGGCCTGCACCCGGGGCTCCACCTGGGCCCAGGCGCAGCCCCGCTGTTGCGGGTGCACCTGGACGTCGACCCGCACCTGCACGCCTGCATATAGGGAGAGAGAGACTTTTTCCGTACCCTGGTAAAAGGGGGAAAAAAAAAATCAACCCTGGGAACCGGACAACGGGCTGGTTGTGTGGTTGGTTGGGTGCCAGGTCCGTGCTAAAAAAAAAAAAAAAAAATCAGTTTGTTTGTCTGTCTGTCGATCTCTGCGTGTTCCTATCTGCCTGTTTGTTTGCCTGTTTGCCTGTCCGCATGCCTATCTCCTTGGCTCCATGCACATCTGTCTGTCTGCCTTTCTGCCTGTCTACATGCCTATATGTCTGGGTGGTTGGGTTACGACATTGGACGGTTTGCTGGTCCGTTGGTTGGGTGGTTGGGGGTGTTGAGTGGTTGGACGTTTCGGTGGGTGCCTGGTTGGGTGGTTGGCTTAGGTGGTTGGTTCGGTGGGAGGTGGGTAGTTGGGTGTCCCATCAATAATTCCCTCCGACAACCAACACTTGGGTGTCCCATCGATGTGTGCCTTGGCGTGGGTCTGTACCTGGAGCTACACCTGGCCCTGTATCTAAACCTATCCCCGCCCCTGCATCCGCACCTGCACCTGCACCTGGGACTGCACCTGAGTCTGGGCCTGCACCTGGGCCTGGATCTTCACCTGCGCCTGGCCCTGCACCTGGCCTTGCATCTCGGCCTGCATCTGCACCTGCACCTGGAACTGCAGCTGGGCCAAACAAAGGTCGGCGGAGTCAGGATGGCTTGATCCTCCGGCAACCAACACTTGGGTGTCCCATCGGTGTGTGCCTTGGCGTGGGCCTGCACCTGGGGCTGCACCTGGGCCTCCACCTGTACATGCACGTGGGCCTGCATGCGGGCCTGGAAGTGGGTCTGCATGGGGAAAAACAATAGAAGTCTGCGTGTCCCTGGGATTGCATTTGGGCCTGCACCTGCGCTTGCATCTCGACCTGCATCTGCATCTGCACCTTGACCTGCAGTTGGACCAAGCGAAGGCCGGGGGAGTCGGGATGGCTTGATCCTCCGGCAACCAACACTTGGCTATCCCATCGGTGTCTGGCTTGGCATGGGCCTGCACCTGGGCCTGGACCTGGGCCTGCACCTTTACATGCACGTGGGCCTGCACACGGTTCAGCACATGGGTGTGGGCGTGCACCTGGGCCTGGGCTTGCAGCTGGGCCCGGGACTGCACCTGGGCCTGCGTCTGTACCTTCACGTCGGGCTACACCTGGGCCTCCACACCGGGCCTACACCTAGGCCCAGGACCTATTCGGGATAGCATGGGTGCCTGCACAGCGGGATGATCTCTGCCTGCCCGCCTATGTGCCTGCCTGGCTGCGTGGCTCCTAAAAAAAAAAAAAAAAATCAGGTATGGGACTGTGGCCCACACCCCACTCAAAGGGCCACAGACCCAGACTCAATTAACAACCCGGACCCAGGGCCAGGTCAACGGGTACAGACCCGCAGACCAACGGTATGTCAACCCCGGGAACTGAACACCGGGCAGCACTTGCACCGTTGGCCTTTCAGAACAGGAAGACGGATAGACGAACGCAGACAGATACAGCAGGCTATGTATGGTTCCAGGTCCGTACTAAAGAAGAAAAAAAAAACATCAGTTTGTCTGTCTGTCTGTCCATCTCTGCGTGTTCCTATCTGCCTGTCTGTCTGCCTGTCTGCGTGTCTGCATGCCTATCTCCCTGCCTGCATGCAGATTTGTCTGTCCGCCTTTCTGCTTGTATGCCTGCCTGTATGTCTTGGCGCCAACAGCGCCTTAGACCTGGAGCAAACACCCAGGATTCAGGGCCAGTCTCATTCGGTTAGGTCGTTGATTAGCTCGTTGGGTGATTGCGTGGTTGAACACGGGCAGATGTAGAGTCAGGTCCTGGTCCAAGCCGACGTCCTACTCCAACTGAGGTCCAGACCCAGGTCCAGACTAAGGTCCAGACTCAGTAACCGTCTAAGCCTGAGAACAGGCCCGGGGTCAGGTCCATAGTGACGTCCAGACCCAGCTCCAGGCTCAGGTCC